GAGTGCATTGTGTAAAATGCTCTCTGGGGCATTATTTTGAAATTAGGAAAGGAAAAAATACTGCTTTGATGACATGAAAATTTGCCCTGATCCTCCCACCTCTCACCCATGATTACTCATGGCATGACAATGGTGCTCACGGCCACATGTTTGAGGATTTTGAGTACTCAGGAAGAATTTGCACAATGTGATTACTGAAACAACCAATTTCCATAAGTGAAAATGAGCATGCTTATTAATGGGGCCACAATTGCCTATTTCATTCAATCACATTTATAACAAGCAAAGAGAACAATTGTTTTGCATGATTTAATGTTTATACAATTACCATTGCACTGCGAAGCTTGCTGTATTAGAGGCTAGGGAAAGAAGCATATGTGGTCCTTTTGCAGGTAATAAAATGGAAAATCCAATTTGCAATTGCAGAATAAGCCTCTGAGTGATATATGATCTTCATAGCGGCATTGGTCAGGAGGTCACTGCTAATCACGGCGCTGCCTGGCTTCCCCAGTGGCCTGCGCCTTCTGACTGAGGAGTGAGCAAAGTGAATCTGTGTCTGGGAGCCAGCCAGCGTGTCTGTAGATGCACCACTTTCGAGCTTATTAGATCCTCTTTGTCACAGTGCTTAATCCTGCTGCCTGATCCTTGTTAGAACACCACTGGAGTACCGCTCAGCCTTCTAATAAAGGGGATGGGTGAGGGGTGCACTCTGGGTGCACTGAAGCGTGCGGAGTGAGGGCGGTTGCAGGCTGACTGACAGTAGGGTGAGATGCTTCCTGCATGTTATTACTTAAAAGGGAACCTACCCCAGACAGCTGACAGACAAGCGTGCTGAGGCAGTGGGGACTTGTTGCTAGGCCGATATGAGACGGGTGTCATCTTTTCACACAGTATAATGGCCTAGCTTTACTCTAATTATATTAGCCCTCTTCTGAAACTGCTGTGTGTTGGGCTGGTGCAGAGTGAGGTAAGAGAAGCCAGAGATGAATAGCTTGCTGGGAGGATTACAGCTACACAAAAGCAGAGATTGTGTTATCTGCCAGTTAAAAAACAAAATAAACACATCGTATCGCACCAAGTGATAACTGCACAGGCATTGCCCGGTTAGGCTCATGTGTGACGGGATTCCGTCCTGGTCACAGGCAATTGTTTCTTCCTGTGAGGTTTGCCTTGGACACTGAATGCTTTTTTATGGTGTTTGTTTAAAAAGCGTGAATGCCATCCAACAAGAAGCCATTGCTATTTTTCCTCCCATGAACTTGAGTCATCCTTTCTCATAAGCTTTCCAGTTCTTGCAGCTTTATGGAACACCTGAGAATTTGATTTAGCGGCAAGTTTGAGACTAAAATAAGCAAATAGGAATGGGCTGGTGTAATCCAGAGCCCCACCTCCTCCTGCCACCTCTGGCCAGAAAGTGCGCATGGTTTCTGAGTGATGTAAATGAAGACACTCATGAATAGTCCCCGGTCCTTTCTGCTTTCCTAACTCTCAGACATCAGTGTAAGACTCCTTTTCCCTGAAGGGAGTGTGTCTAGTTTGCATCCAGCATCTCCTATGTGCTCCAGTTAGCAGAAGTCATTAGCAATCCCCTATGGCTCTTTGTCTCCACTGACAGCGCTAATAGAGACATCACATGGGACTGACAGATCTCCAGCGGGTGAGAGGCTTCAGACAGAAGGGCATGGCTGACCTTTCCTGGCATTATTCCTCTAGGTCGGTCTTCCATGTGTGGCAGTTAGGCAGCATACAACTTTAGTGCATTATTTTTGGAAGATTACCATTAAAAAGACTGCAGCCTTAGTAAGAAGCTATTAAGAAGTTAACAAAAAGCTGTGTGTGTGTGCCAAAGAGGGTTCATAGGCTTTTGGTGGTAGAATGTGGGCTCTCGTACTTTAAGTTCCACGTAGTCTATTGAAATCTACTTAGCTCACAGTAAACCTGTACTTTTGGATTATTGAGGCAAGCCTGGCAACTTGGCAGAAGGGAGCTTGTGATACAGGTCAGAGAAAGAAGAGAGTCTCTTTTACTGTCCTGTTAGTCATCCCAGAGCAGATTTGGAATAGCTCAGCCTTATCTATACATTCTCTTTCTCATCTCCTTTCCGGTCCATGTTGCTCTCATATTGACTGAGGGCCCTGAGAATATACTGTGGTCCGAAATATTCTGTGCCTCAAACATAGCTACTTTCCCTCTTCTGCCTGCTCTTCTCCCTAGTATAAAGAACAAAGTCCTGTTCTCATGGTCTCCATCTGAACCACACGTTAACAGGAGATCAGTGCAGTTGAATTAATTTATGGTAACACATGAGTGATGGAAAGTCCTGGGTACTTGTTCAGTAGAATAGAATTCTACTGACTAGAAATTCAGATTATGTCTCCCTAGAACAAGCAGTGTTGGGGATGAGAAGGAAATAATTTGAGGGCAGAATTGCCAGTAATGAGGGATACGTTTTGTTTAGAAGTTAGTTCACATGCTAATTGTCTAAACTTACAATGTTTATCACAGCTTTTCTTTTCTCCTCCTCATCTGCTTTGGATACACAGATTTTTCCTAGAGTTTCTATAATTTGTTTCCTGGTTGATTCCATGCTGAATCAATGAGAAGGGCTTGGAGGCAGGAAGATAACAGGAGGTATGCACAGGTTACTTCTTTGGTGCGTGTTTGAAGAGAGGTTGTTCACTTGTAGCGCCTCCGGACTCAGTTCATTGGCAAATTGTTGCACTGTGATTACTCCTGCCTGCAATGCACGCCTGTCCCGTGGTGCCACCATCCTGAGAACAGTGCTCAGTGTGTTCACTGGGCACGGAAAATGTGACATATCAGAAATGGGCTTGTCTGTAAGTAAGTAGGTTTTTTCCAGAAATTGTGTTACCCTCTTTTTTAGAAAAAGGGAAATTTGAAGAAAAAGAAGTAATAAATAAGTGATATGAAGAGAAGATATAGAAGTATCATAAACCAGATCGTAAGAGGAAATAGGAATGATCAAGAAATGTAAGCAAGAGATCAGTGAGGAAGCTAAAACCCCTTCCCTCAGTAAAAGCAGAAACAAAAACACCAAGATGAACCCAGGGTAAGGTGCTCAACTGAGCAGAATCTCTGTAGCCCTTGGCTTTTCATTCAGCCTAGACAGCTTTCTGACTCCTAGAGAAGCAAGCTCATTAGTTTCTGAAGGGACTTAATATCTGACTAATCATAGTTAATCACTAAGATAAGGACAGTGACATTATTGATAATCTTGGAGAGAAATGCATCTGCTTATTTTTGCACTTGACACCAAGTTCTTAGTTTCCCTGGAAAGATCATGGTGAACTATTCTCTCTTAATATTTAGTAATATTTCTTTCCTTAGAAGCGTGTTGTGAATTTGTAATCACTTTTCTTTCTCCATTTTTCTGAACAGTTGCAAGTCCATATCAGGAAACCAAAAACAATTCAAAGTATCCATTTTGTTTAAAGAAGAAATATTGCATCATTTTCCTAGTAAAAGTTTCATTTATCCTTTCATTCCCAAAGCTCAGATCAGCTAAGAAATGATTTGTGTCCTGCTATACTTGCATCCCAGAATACATTTTCATTGCCCTGACTGATCAGTGATGACAAAATAGACCATAGAGCCTCAAAACAGGACCAATGTCACTTTGGTGTGTCTCCGGAAGAGTAATTGCTGAATGTCTGTGCTCTAGCTGCCTTGGGCCGTGGACCAGAAGTCTGAAAATGGACATACTTGGTAGGAATTTTATTCATTCATTCATCCATTTATTATTTATTCAGGTACCAGGAATCGAACTCAGACCTCACACATGCCAGGCAGGTGCTGTAGCACCGAGCTGTACGCCTGGCCTGACTAGGAATTTTAGGATGGCTTTCTGTCCATTTGCTACCAGGAAAAGCTACCTGTACCTCAACTGCTTAAACTCTGTGCTGCCTTTCTCTTTCATAGGTAAATGAATTATACAAAAGTTCTTTTACACATCATCTTTTCCATTTTTGAACATACCAAAAAGAGAAAAAATAGATTGATATTCAGAGATACGTTCTTAACAAGGCAATATCTAGAGCTATATTCCCTGCCTGTTTTTATTTTTTATTTTGACAGTCTCACTAAGGTAGATTGCCCATGAGATCCTCTTGCTTCAGCTTCCCAGAGTGCTGGATTATAGGTGTGCATCACCACATCTGGTAAGCTCAACTTCACTGGGCTAGACCGACATGTAATTTAATGTGACTGTTTTACCTGTAGAAAGAAAAAGTGGTTCTAGTCATTCTTGAGTCATTGGCAGCGTTTTCTGATGTTGGACATGATCAGTGAATTCCCTCAGGCTTCCATTTTTTCACCTAAAAGGTGATGTTGGTAACTAACGGGAGGACTGACAGGGAATTCCATGAGGAAACGGTTCTAAAAGAATTCATAAACTGTTTAGAGCTGTACAAGTATTAGTCTCCATCATTAGCCTGTTAATAAGCTTCATTTAATGCTGATTCTGAGATTTAAATCTGATTATTGTATTGAGCAATACAATAATCACTTTATTTGGGTGACATTTGTGTCTTCATGTGCTCCTTTCTTGATGTAAAGGTAAGATTGGTCTTAGCTCTACTAGGACAAGTTAATATTCACTTCCGTTCTCAAGATGGAATTTCAGAGATCTTCAGTATTACTGCTTCTTTCAGTCTTGGGCAAGTCTTTTTAGTTTCCACGGCAAATTCCTAGAGATACAGGGCCTGTGTTACACTGGCAAGCACTTCTTCCAGGGTTGCTTCTTTCTTTTCCCCCTTCTATGTCCCCCGCCCCATCCTTCCTTCTTATTTCTTCTTTCATTTGGTCTTAATTACTTTTGTACCTGCCAGAGATGTTTTGGGGTAAGAGATTTTTTTAAAATGCAGTCAGTGTCCACAAGGTCGCAAGGTACTAAGGGTTGAACTGTGGCTACTGAACACGACCTGGTCTGTGCTGGTTGAAATGACCATCACCTATTTCTTTCTTCTTCTTCATCCTTTTAGGAAACTTGGATTTAACTGGTCAGAAGCAAGTATTCAAAGCAGAGAACAATCCCTGGGTTACCCCTATTGCTGACCAGTTCCAGCTTGGCGTGTCCCACGTCTTTGAATATATCCGCTCTGAGACATACAAATAGTAAGTAGACTGTGTTTTTCTAAAATATCTGTGATTTTTCTAGTGTTTATAATTATGGCATTTAAAGAATTACCAGGTAACATTGTCTTATTACTGGTAGTTAAAACATAACATTTTAAAATGTTTTATTAAAAACTACATGTGGGAATTGTCCTGTAGATTACTTTTACTTGATGTTTGCAAGGGCATTTTTGCCAGTTTTGTTTAGAGAATTTTTAAGGTAGTAAATTAGTTGAATATTCATGGCTTGAAGGAAATTCACCAGACATTTTAAGATCAGAACATACTTTATTCTTCTGTGAACACAAAGAATTACAAATGTTATGAACATAAATTTTAAGCGTTTTTTTTTAAATAAAATCAGAGAATACTAGAAAAGCATCCTATGATTATGTAGAAGATTTTACTGTACTGACATGATCATCTCTAAGGTAAAGAGAAAGGGCAGAAAAAGAGAAGTAAGAATCAGCTTTAAATCACAGCTTCAAAATACCTAAAGTCTTGGCTTCAGGTTAAGGGGATTGCGGAGTCACCACTCAGCCTAGCCATTGTCACCTCTTCCTCCCGTGTGGGTTTCAGAGAGATTCTGCTGCCTCCCACCTGCCCCTGTCGCTGTTTCCCCACTTAACCCCAGCAGCTATTTATCTCAGTGCTTAACTGATCCCTAACTGACAGCTAGGCTAGTTTTAAACATCTTTGAAAAAAGACTTGGAAAAAAAACTATAGTTAGATTTAAGCTATATGTGTTCAGTATCAACTTTTGAGAATTTAGCATCCCAGCTATCATTGAGGAGCTAAAAGATTGTCAAAGATTATATTTAGTTGAGAATCTCTCTCCCCCTCTCCCTCCATCACTCTCTGTCTGTGTCTGTATCTCTATCTCTGTCTCTATCTCTGTCTCTGTCTCTGTCTGTGTATCTGTCTGTCTGTTTCATATATATATATGTGCCACCAGATCTGTGCTGGGTTATGAGGCTTCTGTCTATGAATGGCTATTTCTGCCAAGCACCATGAAAAACAATGACATTAAAATTAAATACAGCAAAATTGTCCAAATGATAACATGTTCTTATGGATAAAAATATCTTAAAGTATACTCTGTATTTTTAGATGACATTCTGACATTTATAATATCGTTAATAAGAAGAGTAAAATGGAGGAGGTATACAATATGTGTTACAGTTGGATGAGCCATGTAGATATGTGCAGTTATTACAGATCCAGTATTTATTTTAAACACAAATATTGCCTAGCGTTAGAAACTGGCTTGGTTAGTGAGATGATGTACAAATGACATAATTGCATATTAGCAAATTGTTGTTCATTTTGTTTTTCTTAATTGTTGCCATTGTGAGTTTTAGATATGGCTCAGTTTTTTTAGTGGTAAATATCAAGCTATATAGAGCTTGGTTTATGGACTGTGTTTAAGATCCCTTTCTATATATGGTACTATGTAGGAAATACCTAAGTAAATACCTGTTAACCCAGAACTGAAGGAAATACTCTTGATTATTTTAGATATCCATAATAGTAGCATTCATCATTGGGAGTTTATACCTGTATATGACTTATCTTACTTCTTTTTCTACTCTCCTCCCTTCAGATCTTATGATTATTTACAAAAACTTTATTCTGTTTTCCTTCCATTGTCTTTTTTTTGTCCCTTCTTTCCTTTTTCCTTCTTCTTCTCTTGTTCCCTTTCTCACCTTAACATTTTGTTCCCATTTCCTAAATACCTATTATTCATTCTTATCCTCACTAGACTTTTGGTTTCTCACATCGGAGAAACAATGTGTTATTTAAACATACCTGTCTGAATTATTTCACTTAATAGTATGTTCTCAAAGTATATCCATTAGTAGAAACATCTCAAGTTTATTCTTCTTTATGACAGAGTAGTACTCCATTGTATATTTTTTTAAACCTCACATATTTATCCATTGATTGCTTGATGGGCATTTGAGCTTGTTTCAAGAGTTAGCTATTCTAAGCTATGCTTCCATAAACATAGTTTTGCATATATTGCTTTGGTATGATACTTATAATTCTTCCAGGAAGATACTATGAAAGGAAATGACTGGGTCAAATGGAACCTCTAGTGTTAGTTCTTTGAGGAATATCCACACTGTTTTCCACAGTTAGTGCACTAGTCTACACTGTCACCAACAGTGGGTTCCTTTTTTCCCCACAGACCTACCAGCATTTGTCACTGGTTGATTTCTTGATAATAGCCATTCTTTCTAGAGTGAGATGGAAGCTAAGTGTTGTTCTAATTTGCTTTTCTGAGATGACCAGTGATGTACATTTTTTCATGTATTTGTTTGCTGTTTTTTATGGTTCAACTCAAAAGAGTGTATTCTTCTCAGATGCCCATTATTGGATTCAGTTTCGAAATTTGAAGGATTTTGATTTTTTGAGTTGTTTTTGTAGTGTAGATATTAGTCCTAATCTGAGAAACAAATTTCTTTTCCTCTCTGAGTTGTTTCTTCACTCTGTTGGTGGTTTCTTTTGCAGTATAAAAACTTTTTAATAAGTGGAATTGCAGTTGATTCCTTGTGATAGTTCTGTACAATTGAAGTTTTTTCATAAATTCTTTGCTTACACCAATGTCTTCAAAATTCTACCTATTCTATCTTCCAGCATATTTACTGTTGGATATATTTCTGTTTTGATACATAGATCTGTGACCCATTTTGATTTTAATTTAGTGCATGGTGAAAGATAAAGGTCTAATTTTAATCTTCAGCATGTGGAAAGGCAGTTTTTCTAGCAACATTTATTAAAGAGGCTTTCTCTCAGTGGAAGGATTTGACTTCTTCATCAAAGATAAGATGGTTGAGTATGCTTGGAGTTGTTTCTGCATGTTCTAATCTGTTGCACTGATCTTTAGGTATGTTTCTTTTTTCTTTTCTATGCTGTTTTTATCATGGTAACTTTGTAGTATAGTTTCAAGTCTGGGATTGTGATGTCTTTGTTTTAGTTGTCTAGATTTTTTTTTTCTGTTGTAAGTCTTTTCTTCCCAAATGAATTTTGGGATTATTTTTCTCTAATTCTGTGAAGTATGCTATTGATGTTTTGATTGGGAATCCATTAAATCTGTATAACAATTTTGGAATTATGACCATTTTCACTATATTGGTTTTTCCTACTCTAGAACAAGGAGTATCATTCTATTTTCTGATATCCTTTTCAATCTCCTTTTTCAGAGTACTATAGTTTTCAATGTAAAATTCTTTAACTTCCTTTGTTAAGTTGATTTTATTAGGTTTTTTTATTTTTTAAATGCTATTAAGAAAGGTGTGGTTTCCCTGTTTTCTCTTTCAATGAATTTATTATTTGTGTACAGGGAGGGTATTGACTTTTGAGTTTTGGCTTTGTATCCAGCTACACTACTAAATTTGTTTTTGTTTTTGGTACCAGGAATTAAGCTCATAACCTCATCCTAGCCAGGCAGGTGCTATGCCATGAGCTATATCCTTGGTCCCTTGAATTTGACTATTAAATTTGGAATTCTTTGGTGAAGTTTTTGAGCCTTCTATGTAGAATATCATATCATCTGTGAATAATGATAATTTAACATCTTCCTTTCCTATTCTTATTCCTTTTGTCTCTTCTTTAATTGCTCTGGTTAATGTTTCTAGAACAATATTGAATATTGAAGAATAATGATAGTGAACATCCTTTTCTTGTTCCTGATTTTAGAATGAAAACTTTAAACTTTTTTCCTTTTAGTAGGATGTCAGCTGTTGATTTATCATAGATGGCTCTTAACAGATCAAGATGAAGACCATCTATTCCAGTTTTCTGTACGGTTGCTATCATGGACTTTTTTCTGCATCTACTGAAATGATAATATGGTTTTTGTCCTTGGCTCTGTCAATATGCTGTATTACATTTGATTTTATATGTTAAACCATCCTTACATCCCTGAGATGAACCTCTATTTGGTCATATGTTGTATAATCTTGATGATTTGTTGTATTCTTCTTGTCAGAGTCTTACTGAGGACTTTTGTATCTATGTGCATGAGAGAGATTGGCCTGCAGTTGTCTTTGTTGATTGGATTCTTTTCTGGTTTGGGTATCACGGTAATACTTGCTTCCAAGAATGATATTGGGAGTATTATTTCCCTTTTAATTTCATTAAAGAGTTTGGTAAGAAGCAGTGTTAAATCTTCTCTAAATTTATGGTACAATTCAGTGATGAATCCGTCAGGGACTGAGCTTTTCTTTGTTGTAGGTTTTTAGTTGCTTTTTTAGTTTCATTGACTGGTACTGGTTTATCTAAAATTTTTATTACTTGATTTAAGTTTGATAATTCATATGCATTTAGGAATTTGTTCATTTCTTTTATATTATCAATCTTATTAGTATAAAGTTTCTTGAAGTAGATTTGATCATCTGCTGGATTTCTGCAAGATCTGTTGTGTTTTCAGTCTTTTTATTCCTAATTGCATGGATTTTGTTTCCTTTTTTTAAAACTAAGATTGGCTAAGGGTTTGTCTATTTTACTTAATTTTTCAGTGAGTCAACTATTTAGTTCATTCACTCTTTGTATTGTTTTCTTAATCCCCTTTGCATTAATTTCTTCTCTGATTGATTCTTCTTCTTTTATAATACCCTTCCTCATATGAGCTGTTGGCTTGGCTTGCTCTTCTTTTTCTAGAAGCTTGAGGATTAACTGTTGGTTATTTATTTGAGTTTGCTTTGTCTTTGTGATATGGGACTTCTCTGATATAGGACTCTCATAGGACTGCTTTCATCATGTTATATAAATTCTAGTATGTTATAACAGCATTATAGTTTAATTGTAAAGTCTGCCTAATTTCTTCCTTTTTTCATCTGTGAACCATTGGTTGTTCATGAGGGTGTTATTTAATTTCCATGCATTTATGAAGTTCTTTTTGTATCTTTTGCAATTTCCAAATTCATTGCACTATGGTCTGATACTATGCATGGAATAATTTTAATTCCTTTTCATTTATTTAAGCATATTCTATG